GGGGGGGGTGAGGACTTGGCCTCGGGAGCTGAGTCGCAGAAGGCAGGACCCCAACTCCCACTCACAGTGCTCGGTCCACCTGAAACCTCCCAGCAACTCAAGGAGGCGAGAGCGGGACTCGAACCAGGCCCCACTCCCGGGGCCCCAGCCCCAGCGCGTCGCGCGACCGCCTCTCCGTCTTCCCTCGCGGGGGTGGGAGAGGGGGTGACCAACGCTCACAAAGTTCACAACGGAATCCCCCACCGCTGGGTCTGAGGAGGGGCCGGGAGCCCCTTAAAGAAGGTCCCGGCAACGCTCACCTGCTGACAGACGCCAAGGCGACAAACGCTCCTCCTCTCACTCTACACACGCTTCAACCACGCCGGCAGCCAACTTCCGCTCCTCTGCCGCGAATCCCCAGCTAAGTATTCCTCTCCACCCGCCCCCGCGACCAATCCAGCCAATCACCTCTCAAAGAATCTGCTGCGTCCCTGCCACTCTCCTCCCTGCCAATCACCGCGGGCGCCGGCACCGCCCTTCCCGCCCTCTTAGGCGAGCGCCGCGCGCCACCACTAGGCAGTTGGCGGCGCTGCCCTCCGCCGGGGTGAGTCTCCCGGAAGGACTGGGCGAAGCGCGGGCCACGCCGGTGCGGGAACCTTCGGGATTGGCCGATAGGAGCCCCGCTCTCTGATTCCGCCCCGCCCCCCCACAGACACCCAAGTCGGAGACGCTGGGGATTGGTTCCCGGTGGACACCCGAAGAAGCCAAGAAATGGTTCCGCCTCCCTCGCGCGTCCCGGAGAGGGAGCTCCACGGATTGGTCCGCTGAGGCTCGGCGCGCGCCGACCCCGCGCTCCAGGGTTGGCTGAGGGTGTGCTCGCGCTGCCGGAAAGCGTTGACGGTGATTGGCCGGAGGGTGGGGCCGGCTATTTGAAGGAGGCGCGCGGACCAAATACGCACTTCAGTCCGCGGACAGAAGAGGCGGGAGCGGTTCTAGGTAACGCTACCCGGCTGACCACAGAGGACTTCGGCGCGGGCCCGGCCCCAGCTGTGGCCTCTGCCGCAGCCCGGCAAGGCGATGGCCAAGGTTTCTGTGCTGAACGTGGCGGTGCTGGAGAATCCGAGCCCTTTCCACAGCCCCTTCCGGTTCGAGATCAGCTTCGAGTGCAGTGAGGCCCTGGCGGACGGTGAGGCTGGGCCTGTGTGGAGATTCCCCCTCCCCCCGGCGGACCCCGACCTCCCCCGTGAAACAACTGATCTCCCTCTTTCCCTCCGCTTCAGCCCCAGCCTCCTTGTAGAGACTACCCCTGACACCCCATGGCCAACCCAACCCCCTGCCCGGGGTCACTCCAGTTATCCCTGGGGAGACCTCATCACCCCCCTCTTTTTTTCTGTGGAGCGCCTGCTGGGCACCTATTTTCTCTGTAGAGACCTCAGTCTCCGTTCTTTAACCTGCAGAGACCTTCAGTCACCCTATCTTCCCCAAACTCCCTCCCCTTTTCCGCAACGGAGCCCCTCTATCACACTTTCTCCCTGTGAAATCCCTTTCCCCCGTGGCAAGACCTAATTCGCCCCTATCTCCCCATTTGTCTCCCAGTCCCCTCCCTAGCCTGCTGATATTTAAAACAACCCCACCCCCACCCCCACCCCCTTCTGATTGTTTTCTACCCTAAAGCACACATCCTAGAACCTGACTTTCCACCTCCTTAGCTAGGCCCCAGTTTTCCACTCTTGATACCCACCTGGGGAGGCAGGGCAGGTTTCCAGCTCCAGTCTTTCAAGATAACTTGGTCTCCCCAGCTTCGGTCCCTCCCTCCTCTCTGCCTGCTTTGATAAACACTCCTACTGGAGGGGTGGCATAGCCAGGCCAGCCTTAGCTGGCTCCCACTGTCTGCCCACCAGGTTCCAGCTGATCTACCGAGGTGCTTCTTCCAACACTTTTGATGGTCTGACCTAGTCTCGGGGGGGTTGGGTGGGCCAGGCTGAGCCATGATGGTATCTGGCTTCAGACAACCGGCTGAGAGGTCAGAACGTTTTGTGCATCTTTTCCAGGGTGCTTTCACTGACGTACTTCATCTGTGTGTTATAAAGGTGGACATGGCTCTCATCTCACAGATGAGAAGACGGAAGCCACAAAGAATGAAAGACCTTTCAAGTAAAGGTCTATAAAAATCTAAAATGTAAGGTTGCCCAGGGACTCTTGGCACCACTTTCAGGAAGGAAGTACTCCATTAGACCAATCCTCTCCACTTGGTGGTTAAAGGAGAAGAAACAGCCGCTGAGGAGGTGGAGATCTGTGAGGCCATGGTGTGCTAACTAGCACCTCTCAGCGGTAGGTGGGTGGTTTGTGGGAAAAGCCAGCCACTTGGATTAGCTTGGGGCTGATACGGTTTGAGATATGTGTGCTTTTGGGCCGGGCCAATGGATCAATCTCTCCTAGGTTCTTCTCCTTTTTAAATTAAGGAATCGACTTGTGACTAACTATAGAATAAGCCCAGTTAAATCCTTTCTGGAACAAGGCAGGGTGTAAATAAATAATTAAAGTGTAGAATGACACTGTGGAATAAGATTTAATTTTAAAGCCAGGAGGAGATGTAAGGAGCTAATAGGTTAAGGGATTCACAGTTCCCAGAAGGCAGGAGGTCGGGTTTCAAACAGCCTGTTTGCGCTCCTTGCATTTAAAAATGGTTGCATTGTCATGATCTAGTAGTTTTATTCCTAGGAAAACCCCTGCCCTGTTACTTTACTAATCTGTTTATAGACTCAGAGCAGGAAAGGCAAAAGTCCACCGCTGGTCGTTTTTTAATAGAAATGAGATGACTTCTCCAAGGTCACACAGCCGGTCTGTAGAAGTATTGACACTAAAGTTTGTCTCTGAGTCCTGAGTCCAGAGTTCTCCGCTTTTACTATAACCCGGGAAAGAAAGAATGCATCCCTCATTTTAGAAATGGAACGTAAATAGAATGAGCGTAGAATTTGTTTCCGTACCAGGACACTCTCAAAAGAGAATGAGGAAAGTGCTATTACTAATTACACCCAGACAATAAAGCTTTTGCTCAGAGAAATTCAAGTTGGAAAGCAAACTCTGGCCTGAAAATCCAGACTCTGGTTCTATCCCTAGGACTATCCATGACTCTGACCTGCCAACTTGCTCTCTGCCTCTTCCCGGACTTCTTCCCATGGAGCAGAGAGAATCCGTTTCCTGACTCCCAAACAGATGGAGGGGGCCTGGCTTTAGGAGTCTCTCAGATTCAGGAGAAATCTCAGTCCTGTCACCTTGACACTGGCAACTGAAGACCTGACAAAAGACCCAACCCCCAGTCATTGGCTGACCGTGTTTCCCAAGGGCTCTAGGCCCCTTTGGTTCTTTTCTCTCCTCAGCAACTGGAAATAGATGCTTCCAAGGCATAGGTCCACGTTTAATACATTACGTGTGTTTTTCCTCTGTTTCATGGAGAAATTCAACAGCTGCTGTTTGAATAAGTCATAGAAGCAGATGTTCTGACCCACAGCTGTCACCGTGGTCAGACCAGGGTTCGTCTATATGATTATGAAAAACGGCAAAGTGATAAACAGAAAAAAGCCTCCTACATGGGCGGTTTCTGTGTTGTGTTGTGTTTTAAGGCAGGAAACATTCTCCAGCTAGTTCAACTAACGATAGTTTTTTGCATGGCTTTAATCAGGTTGTTGGTTTTGGTTTTGTTTTCATATATAGTGGAGGAGCATGTTGTCAGGTGTTTGGTTGTAAAGTTAGAGCGTGAAGACAAAATTGAATATTGTCAAGGTACCCTTGAAGTTGCCTAAAAAGTTAGGTGCACCATGTTTCATAGGTACAATTGAGTCCTGTATTCCAGAGGAATGAGTTTGTGCTGTATTGGTGATTGACGTCCCACATCTAATTCTAAAGAATGGTTACATTCCAAAATGAAGCCACTTAGGAATGCTTCTGTTTAAAACACTGGCAAGTTTAAGGTGATCCAATTCGTAGGCCTTTATCTCAATCATCTGCTATCTTCCATGGATGATTTCAGCAGCTCCTCTAACCCTCGAGTCAATATTTCACTATGGCCTTCTGTTAATTCTCTGATTTCTTAACGGCCCGCATTGAGGGAGCCGTTGCGGCCCGTTTGCCTGGCTGCCAGCACAGCATGCTTTCTCTTCTGGTCAGCACCCACTCCGGTCGCTGTTTAGGTTTTGCCAATGGTGTTGGACATCAAGTGCCTGTGGCCTACGCGGGGCCTGCTCTCCTTCAGGCTCCTTTTTCCTGAGTAGAGGGCCTGGGTAAAACTGCAAAGCGACAGAAAGTCAGTGTATCAAGGAAGAGCTCGGGGCTCAGGTGTCAAACCTCCGTAGTTGTGGCCCCGCATAGCTGTGTTTCCAAAGTTGGATGCTCTTGTGGGACACTGGACCAAGAAACAGGGCAACTTCAACAACAGTTTACTTCCTGTGAAACTTCCCCCCGCCCCGCCCCTGGCTGCTGGAGCTGTGGGTTGTGTAATTTCAAAGAACCCAAAATAAGTTTCAGGTCTCCTGCCAAGCCTCCGTGTACTAGCGTGACCTTGCCCCTGATACACTTGGACCTCCTGCAAGAGGCAGCGGTGACCAGGGATTTCCGGCACTTGATGGGCCGGGTCTCTCCTTAAGCACTTTTCCTTTCACCTTGCTAGAACATAGTCAGGGATGAGATCCCCCCACTGGATGGGATGAAAGAGTTGGGGTTCGGAGGATCATCTTTTGGTGCCACATTTGTTGACTGAGTCACTGTCACCCAAGGGTCTAAGAGCCGGCATGAGTTGGTGCCTGATCTGGAAGACCTGGGGCCTGGCTGGCTCCCCCAGTGGCCTCGTCTTCCCCCTCCTGCTGTCTGGCTCTCCTGCTGGATTGGAATCTGCTGCCATGCCCCAGTTGTCGAGGGATCTATTCAGTTCGGTGGCACCGGTCCCTGTGTGTGAAAGAGGATGCTGCTTCCTATCCCAGCACCCAGTGGGCAGAGCCCTGAAATGGCCCAATTCCCTGCTGTTCCCTCCTCAGCACGCCTCTGTCACGTGGCGCCTAATTCAACCTCTGCCATACGGTTCACCCTCAGGCTCTCAGATCCCCGAGTTCCCCCAGAGGTGCAGGGTGGAGGTCGCTTGGCAAAGCTAGGCTCACAGGAGAAATTACCCCCCTAGAATTAGAGGCTCGTGCCCCTTCCAGTGTACAGGACAGTGGTGCCCAGCACTTCGTGCCCAGGAGATGCCAGGTGGTCTTGAGAATAAAACTCTTCCAGTATATTAAGGATCTGTCCAAAACTCGAGAAGACCCTTCCCCTGCCTTCGTGCTCCCCACCTGTTTCAAGTCCCTAACACCTCATATCCTTACAGACCTAGAGTGGAAGATCATTTATGTTGGCTCAGCGGAGAGTGAGGAGTTTGATCAAATCCTAGACTCCGTGCTGGTTGGGCCTGTTCCAGCAGGGAGACACATGTTCATCTTTCAGGTAAGAGAGACAAGGCCTGAGGCTTTGGCACCTAAAATTATCCTCTTCTGTCCAAAAGCACATGGTGTGGGTCAGTGGTTCAGGTTCAGAATTCTGGCTCTTGCTTTCAAGAACTGTCTGACCTCTCAGAAGTACTTCACACGTTTCCCTTTCCTCCACCTCTGTGTCATCGTTGTCACCATGAGCCACTGATCACAGTCGATTCTCCTTATTCACGGGAGTTATTTTCCAGAAGGTTGCTGTAAATGCTGAATTAACGAGTACCGAACCATTGCCCCTGGAAGAAATACGGATTAGGTTCCTACAAGTCCTATTTTTGTCAACCAGTAAATACATAAGCTTGTTTTATGTGTGTTTGTTTAAAGACCCTTTATTTAGTATTATTGTTGGTTCATTCCCATTGACCTTCTGGCCAACAGCACTGTAACTCATGCCTGAAAAAAGCTTATCTAACACACGTATTTTCTCCATAAGGCACATCATCACCTTCTTGCCCTTAGGGACCCTAGACAGTAGTAAGCACTATGCTTGGTGGCCTTTTTTTTTTTTTTTTT